ACTTCACTGTGACATCATAATGTTCTGCTAAAACACCTCTGGCCTTTATTCAGTGCTGATTGTGACTGTGTTTCTGTGACTTGGCTGGTTTCTGGAAACAACCACGAGGAGCTGATTCTTGTCTTGGATTTCTAACCTGACACGAAGGATTTAAACGAGACTCCAGTAACGATATCTACGACCCAGAATCCTCTGCTGTAACAGCAATGATAATAATGATGATAATAAACTATATTTGTACAGCATCTTTCATACTAGAAATGTAGAGGTCACAGCTTTGGGCCGTAACTGACGGATGCTGCTTCCTCGTTTTCCTGTTGTCTGAACCTTCAGTAAAGCAGCAGCGGATGACCTCCGTGTTCTCCGAGGTTCGTGGTTAATCAGGGAGTTAGCAGCGTAGCTTGGTCCTCGTCCATTAAGGCCTTTGTATATGAGGAGGCGGAGCCTGAAATCAATTCTAAATGTAACAGGAAGTTAAAGCAGACCGACGCTCTCTCCTCTTGGTTCTGGTTGTAGTTGTAGAAACTTTGTCGAAGGACTTTGTGTTCGGTTCGTCAAACCTGAAGCGGCTCTGTCTCCGTCTCTGCTGCTCGGGTTTAGAAAGAGAGCGAGGGACGGCGGGACGGTCTCCGTTGTGGCGTCCTGTGTGCGTCCACAGTTTGTCTGTGAGACAGGAAGTGTCGGTGACCGCAGGGAGATGCTGAGGAATGTAAATGTGAGACGAGGGGGGACGAGCGAAGAAGAAAACAGCTGGAGATTCATTACGTGTCAGTTTAATTTCAGAGCTGCGATTCATTACAGAGTGGAAGTGGATTCTGTTTTCTGCTTTCTGCCCCCCCCCCCCCACAGAGCTCTGGAAAAAAACTAATTAAAATGAACTTTGCGCTCTGTGATGGGTGGATAATTGTTGCAAGGCATCGGCGTGTGTAATTGAGGCTGGATTTGTTTTACAGGTTTACCTTGTAAATGGGAGCATTTGCATTTTTTTCCCTCAGCTGGTTGTTGCAGGACTCTCGTCGGTTTGAACAGCGTCCAATTGTTTTCAACACGGCATGACAGCGGTGCCGTTAAAGGTGTTTCTATCAGTTTATTCCTGCTGCTGTTAACCAGAGGAGGTAATTAAAACAGCTTGTTGAGAGTCTAACAACTGTCACCTCAGTGAAGCCACAGAAGTTAGCAGAGCGGTGGAGCTGCTGCCTTCACTCACATTAACACATAAACACAAGGGTTTTTTATTGTGGCTAAAGACTCGGGGAGTCGTAGTCCAGCTCCTCCTCCTCCTCCTCCAGCACCGTCCTCTGTTTCCTCCCCGAGGCTCAATTAGACCCGAGGCAGAAAGGAGATCAATCCTGAAAATCTTCATCCGACAGACCCTCCGGAGAGGAGGAGGAGCCTCCCAGGTGTTTAACAGCCAATCAGCATCCAGGAGCCAGATCCCCCCAACACAGAGACTCCTCTGACCCCCCGTCATCTCGCTGTGTGCTCTGCACACTGAGGCAGGTGGTAGGAGGTCGGAGCGTATCCCAGCATGCACCGAGACATCCTGAACACCGCACTGCCAAGAACTGACGACCTCGTGTCACAGGTTGCAGCAGCTTGAAATGAGAGTCATGAAGAAGAAGAAGTCACAAAAATATTCAAAGACAGTCGAATTGTTTTGTGTAGAAGAAGAGTTATTTCCTGTTTAGTTGGATCTAAGCCCCCCCCCCCCCCCCGGTCTGACCTTGTGGTTGGTCGTCTTATCTTGGTTCTTTTGTGAGGTCGGCCGGTTATCAGATCAATATTCAGCATTTTTATGATCAAGGATTTGATTTGAAATAAATTGATGGCAGATGAAGCTGCAGAAACATCACAATGTTACGAACGAGCGAGAGAGAGAGAGAGAGAGAGCGAGGCTATCGCTAACTGCTAAGCTAATATCGCTTCAAATATCTATCATAGTTTTTGTTGGTTCCTGTCTCTCTGTGTCATGTTGCATCTCATGCAGTTGTGGTGTCTCTTTGTGTCTCTTCCTGGTCGGTTCAGCGACTGTCCAACAGGAAATGTTAACCACCTCTTCAAACAGAGGTTCTGGTTCTGATCCCTTGGGCTCCTGGTCCCTGATGACCTGTACACTAATCCATCCATACCTAATCCATACCTAGTGACAAACTACCTTAAGTCAAGCCGTGATATAAGCCCCCCCCCCCGCTTCATATGAAGGACACAGTCCTCATGATGCCAGTGATCCACCATGTCTCTGACTGAATCACCACCTGCTGGGAGCAAATTAAATATTGACTTGTGGTATTGACTTGTAGATCTAATTTGAAGTGATTGTGGATGAGCAATAATGGTGTAGAAAAATGAGTCGGGGGCCGCTTTAATGGCGAGCTGTCGGCCACTTGTTAAAGGCGCTGTAATTGGCTGGACGGAGCGAATCATTGAGTCGGAGCAGGAACTAGTTTAGGTAGAAGTCGAGGTCACTGTGAAACAAACCACCTGTGTTTTATGATTGAATCAGAGCGATGCTGCAGAGAGAAATAAATGAAAGAAAATGGCTTGTGTTGAAGGGAGGCCCCCGCAGTCTCCCACAATCCCACGCTGCCGTCCGAGTATCGCCCACCCTCCTCCGGCCGGCGAGGAAATCTCATCTCAGACGCAGCGCTGCAGCAACGAAGCGACTCTCATTCAGATCCACTCCGTCAATATTTGCTCACCGGCCTCAAACCAAATACTCTGATATTGAAAGTCGTCACACTCAGAGAGGCAAGAAGGAGGAGGAGAAGGAGGAGAAGGAGAAGAAGAAAGAAGGAGGAGAAGAAGGAGGAGAAGGAGGAGAAGGAGAAGAAGAAAGAAGGAGGAGAAGAAGGAGGAGGAGGAGAAGAAGGAGAAGAAGAAAGAAGGAGGAGAAGAAGAAAGAGGAGGAGAAGAAGGAGAAGAAGAAAGAAGGAGGAGAAGAAGAAGGAGAAGAAGGAGAAGAAGAAGGAGAAGGAGAAGAAGAGGAGAAGAAGGAGAAGAAGAAGAATAAAAGGAGAAGGAGAAGAAGGAGAAGAAGGAGAAGGAGAAAGAAGGAGAAGAAGAAGGAGGAGAAGAAGGAGAATAAAAGGAGAAGGAGAAGAAGGAGAAGAAGAAAGAAGGAGGAGAAGAAGGAGGAGAAGAGGAAGGAAGCAGCCAGATGAAGGGAGAGAGATGGAGCTCCTCCACCAGCTCTGATAAGACGCTTCAGTCAGGATTTAAAGGGACAGTCCGGAGTTTTGTGGAAATGATCCATCAGCTGATTGACAGGAAACTAATCAACAACCATTTTGATGATTGATTAATCAGAACTGAGTCATTTTTAAGCAGAAATTCTGTTTCTGACTCTCACTTATGAGGATTTTCTGCTTTTCTCTGTCACATGATGAGAAATTGAATGTGGGTCAGATAGAACAAAATATTTGAAGATGACACCTTTGAAAGATAAAATGACAAATTGTTTTTTACTTTTTTTTCACAATTTATGGAGAAAACAACAGATTTATTTACAGATGAAATAATCCTCAGGTAAATGAAGAAAGTATCTTTGGGTTCGGACAAAACGAGACGACTGGAGACGTCACGGTTTAATAGACGAGTTGATTAATCAAGAAAATAATCACCAAATCAATTGATCCGAGTGGGAGCAGATCTCTGCAGCAGGTTCAGTGTTTGACACCAGAGGTTAATGATGGTGGTGTCACAGTCACATGTTCACCTATCACATACAGGTGTAACGTGCAGGTGTCCACACACTTTTGGCCTTGAAGCGTATCTTCTTTAGTCTTTCTTCTGGGAGAGAGTCTCTGTTTGTGAGAATTATTCAGTTTCCAGAGAGAAACGAAGAATAAAAACAGATTTTCTGCCGAAACTGATCAAATAAATGAAGAGATGAATAATCAGAGAATCGATGGCGAAGAGAAAACCAAGCGAACGGCGAGTGTTCCTGTTCGTGTCCGGTCCCGGCGTCGTCTCCTCTCTGACACGGAGCTTAATTACGCACCATCTGCCACATCTGCCTCCAACATTTGGTTAAACGCACTTTCTCTGTTTGAACAAAACGCTTCACTTACGTTGAAGTAGTTAGTGAGCTTTTTTGTTGAAATATACTTTCATTTCATTCTTTTCTACACTGTTAAAATTTATGATTTGACACCTGGATTATTCATATGAGAAAATAAGATGAACTTATTGCAAAAAATAACATTTCCTTGCTGAAAATGGCGGCCATCTTGAATTTTTGGATGTTTTATCAAAAGAGTGATACCCACGGAGGATTTGTGCCAAGTTTAGCATTCGTATCCACATTTGAAACATTCCCTGAAACTATCTGCTGAGCTATTTAAACTTATTTAGCAGTGAAGTGAGTGTTTATGACCCAATAACCCTAAATGAGCAGTTGGTTTCAGGCTCGTAATTTCCACATAACGACTTAATGATCCTGTTTCCTCCAAATTAAAACCACTTTTCTTACCATAAAAACTCCAAATTAAAACGTGATTTTCATATTTAGTTTTTATCATCGTCCAAATATAATTTGTTACATCATCTCCCAGACACAGCTGATCGGTTGATCAGAAAAGTTCATCTGCAGATATTTGGATGATCAGGTCGTTGTTTCAGTCATTTTTCAGATGTGATGATCGGCTGCTTCTCTACATCATATATAACACGTGAAGATGTCTGGGTTTTGGATCCGTGTGTTTTCAGCCAGTTTCTTTCTTTCTTTTTAAACCAAAAATGAAAATATGTAAAAACACGTGTTTATAATTTCTTTTTTTCTTTTGTCGTTGTCGAATTGAAGAATGAAGTTAAGCAGGTTGCACGGACGTAAAAGTGACTATTTCAAAATAAAAGCCAAGAGGATAGAGGGACAGACAGTTTGTTTATTATTTGTTTGTGTGTTTACTGACTGTAAACAGTCACAGGCGTGTGGCCTGAGTCCCTGAAGCTCTGAGTCTGTGCTGTCGGCGGAGTCGGTGTGAGTCTGGTGTTGTTCCTGGATGACGGAGCTGTCGCTGCGTCGCATGTTCACCGTCACTCACAGTCTGTTCTGGATGCAGGACCGTCCCTCAGACCTGGTCCAGTGGACACGAGTGAAGCTGCAGGTTCTTTAAGAATCCTGCTTCACAGTTTCACCCCCCACACACACACACACACACATCATGTGGGCCGCCCTGCACAACAGCAGCAGTGAGAGTGTGTTGGGATGTTTCCTCTCTGCCTCAGGCTGTGTCGCCTCCCTCCCTCAGATGAAGGAGGGGGGGTGGGCAGGGACAAAAACCCCTGCCTTTGTCCCCCTCAGATCCCCCTGGGTGGCTGCAGGAAGTTCTCAAATGTCTGAAGAGACGCAGCAGATGCTCAGTTATCACACTGCAGTTAGACCTGAGTTTACGGAGGAGTCTTCAGGAGACTTTTTCTTTTTCATTAGCATAAATATAACGAGCACTTTCTCCACTTCTCTTGTAATTAAGAGCAAACTGTGTCCTGGAAATTTACAGTGAAAAAATCCGTTCCTTTCTAAGAAATAATGAAGGTTTCCAGGAAATGATCTGTAGAATAAAACGTCAAAACCGTTATTTCCCACATCCAGACGTCACAGACCCGAGACACAAGTCATGACGAGGCTGAAGAGTCTCAGCAGCTGAAATCAGTGACTTTGTAGTTGAGAGATTTTCACATTCACTTGCCCACAGTCACAGTTTGTGTCTGAGCCTCTAGTGTCGGTCTGATGAACTGCAGCTTCGGGACATTTGAACATCAGTTTGTGTGTTTGTGCGTTGAAGTGTGTGTGTGGTGGCTGTTCTTTGTGGCTGCATCTGTCTGCCTCTATTGTTTGCAGAGGTCCATCTGCTGGCCTTCAGCTCCCCCCCCCCTTCAGGCTTCCCCCTTCTCGTGTAGGCAACAAACACCCCCCAACCTCACCCCTGTTCCTCCTCCCATCCTCCCCTCTCAGTGAGAGCCAGCTGTCCCCCCTCCTCCCTCCATCACTGACGTTCAGTGTCAGACCCTGAAGAGGCCTGTAGTCCAGTCCAGACCTTTAACTCTGGATTAGACCTCAGTGAGACGACGGCACTGGTGAGCAGTCATTTTCATTATTTTGCATATTATTTAATTCAACATGCTGCTTAACATAATTAAATATGTGCATATATAAATAAGAAGTAGAAACTAAAATCACAGTAGAGTAGTTTTTAAATAATAATAATTCTGCTTGTTTTAGAGGATTTCTGTTTTTCTTTGTTTTATTTGATTTTGAATAAAATAATTTAAGATTTTGACTCTTGGGTAAAACAAAACAAACACTTTAGAAAAACATGTTCTGACGTTTTATAAACCGAAGAATTCAGAGAAAGTAACTTAGAGACTAAGCAGTACTGAAAATAATAGTTAATTGCATCTGCAGTCTCTCTCCCTCCCCAGCCCCTCCCTCTCTGTAAATTATGTTATAAAGATTATATATATGAAAAGTGTACTGAGGTACCTTCTGTTGTGATTCAGTGCTATAGAAATAAAATGGAGTCGAGTTCTAATAACCAGGTTTTTATTTTCTCCCGTTTTCTGTCGTCCTCTTGACAAATGGAGATGATGAAATTTGATAAAGGCTGTAACACATGCAAACAGAACGGGGCTATAAATGTCTTGTGAGAGGCATTGACGGGCTCAGATTTACTTCTCTGATCAATAATTCAAAATGACAACAGTTAGTATTGATCACTGAGCAGCAGAGCTGGAGAAGGATCATCAAATCAAGTCAGAAATACCTCTGTTAAAATGCACAAGAGCCAGAGAATCAGTGTTCGGCCTGTAACGGTCACTGTGGACGTCTGTGAGTGACGAATCACCTGGTCATAGTGTTTCTCAGCAGCTGTGTCTCAGGTTCAGTTATCCACTGGTTTTGTGATGTAATGTTGTACCACAAAAACTCTCAGGACTCAGCCTGAGCAAAGGTATCGTGGAGCGAAACAACATGAAACATGGAAGAACATTTATTTTGAAATTCTTTTAATTGTAATTGTAATACTTCATGATCCATTCAAACAATGTGATGGCATATTGGTCTTTTCCATTCAAACCTTCTATAGGACTCAGCTGTGACCAAAAATAATGAATCTGAGTTAAAATGGATAATACAGAAGTAAATAAATAAAAAAACATACACCCCTGAAACTAAACCAATCCAAGTAACTAAAACCATTTAGTTTGATTCAAGAAAGAATCTGAGCAGCAGATTGTTTATTCATCTTTAAAGGTCTCTTTGTCATTTCCGGACACACAGTTATAAAATTAAAGTAACAGTTTGGAGCTCAGTGAAACTGTTTAATACAAATTTTAATATGTTTAATATTTATTTCATATTTAAAGGATTTAGTAAAGAACTAATCTGAAACTAAAGTCAAGTATCGTCAGCGTAGAGTGAGATCTAATGTATTATAATCTTTTTCCTCTTGTTACTGGAGCACTTCACTAAATGTTAGATTATATTACAGCTTTAATCACAGTCATAATAATGGACCAAATGCAACCATTTTCCCTAAAGAGGCTCATTTTTTGTAACAGAGCTGCATCTAATAGTAATTTTCATTATCGATTAATCTGCCGATAATTAATCGATTAGTTGTATAAGGCACGTCACAGCTTTGTTTGCTCAACAGAATAAAACCACACAATATTCAGGTTGTTATTTTATACAGACAATGTTCACAGCAGTTGGAACAAGCAAATGTTGGTATTTTAGTTTTCAATCATTATTGAATTTTCAAAATAGTTGCCAGTTAATTGTCTCACCAAATAATACTAATAATTGTTTCAGCTCTACTTGGTGATCATGTGATAAATGGATGTATCATGTAAATATTGGGTGTCACTGGTGCTTAAAAAAAACAGAATAAATGTCTAAATATTCACAGTAAAGCAAATACACATACTGTCAGTTAAATGACCTTTAAGTTTAGTTTAAGTTGTGAGTCTGTAAGTTGGATTTTAATGCTGTGGGTGAATCAGGGTGTGTATAAGTGTGTAGGTTGCTGCGGCAGTGCATTATATTTTTTAATGATGACCTGTCATAGTCAGGAGTCAGGATACTTCCCGTATGAGAGGTGGAGTAGAAACTTTGACGTTTAGCTCCTCCTCCCTCTTGGTCGTCCTCTGCCGTCGCAGCAGGAGAGATAAACCAACACAATCATCTCATTTTGCTCAACAGATGTCCATAATCCGGCCTAATCCAACATGTTAAATGGTTGTTGTCTCTGCAGCGAGTGCGGGGCGCCGACCCTGGCACCGAAGCTTCCCACAGGCCAGTTGGACTCCCTCAGACCCCCTCTGGTCCCGGTGTAGAGCTCTCAGCTCCTCGCCGTTCTGCCAAGTGGAGGCTGAATTAATAACGTGTCTGTTTCTGTGGCCATATGTGAGGCTATTTATGATGGAGAGGGGGAATGTGAGCGGGCGCTCGAGGAGGAGGAATGACTTTAGCTTGGCCTTCGCTCCGTGACATATCCCGCCATCAGTGGATACATTTCAAAATAAAGGTCTAATACTGATTCATGATGTCCTCATCAGCAACACAGGAACCGACCTGTCTCCTCTGACTCTCTGATGGGACTTTCATGTTCAATCCCATAGTTAATCTTTCTGTTGTCATGACGACTGCTCCAATATAAAATGGTGATTTTTTTTATAGCTGTTGTAGCATTTATGACCTTCAATAAAATCACACTGTTATACTCACACAGCGGTCTGACAACAACAGAGCCCAGCTGATAAATCACTCCGTTAAATGACTCATTTGTCCCCTCAAATTTCAAATCAGCCCCTTAAATAACTTTTATTCCCTCAGTTCAGTAACTCAGACCCTGAAACGACTCGATCGCTGCCTCACATTCATAATTCATCTCTTCAAATGACTGAATCTTAAATCTTAAAGCTGCTGTATCATTTCCAGACTGAAACAGTTCACCTGCAAAACATGTTTAAGGCCTGTCAAAGATAAGACAACTTTTTTATTGATTATAGATAAGTAATCATAATAAGCATGTCCTGGTATCTCAGATTAAAATCAAATTGAGGTCCATGGTGAGGCTGTAAAGACGACAAAAAAACTTAAGTGAAAGTGATAACACTGCGCTATTAATTTGAAGGAATGAATTATAATTTGACGGGACAAATTATCAGAAGAACAAGACATTTAAAGATACAGAGGGATAAAAACACGTTAACTCAACAGAGACGTGAGTAACGCGATGGAGTAATCTGTCAGAGATCGTTCATTCACCCAGATGTTTAACGTCGTGTTGTTTTGTGATTTAGAGGAAACAGGAAACACTTGTGACCCACGTTACGGCCGTTGAGTCTATTATAAATGATTTGGGTTTGACGGCTGATGACTGATGAGTCTGTTCTGGATCAGCTGGTGTGGGCAGATAAAATCCTATAGTGTGTGATGAAGAAGTCTCTTGTCAGTCGTTCTCATCCAGCATCTCAAACTCTGGCCGTTTCTTTTCCCCTCCATTTTTTTTTTGTTTTTTTTTGGCCTCTTCAGCACAAACGTCTCTGCACATCAACACGACGAGCTGCTGCTTCTGTCCAGGTTTGTTTGGGTTGGAGAAGGCGTGACAGTCTCGGAGTGTCTGTTGGAGGTCGTGCAGCTCCGGAGCGGCGGCCGCGGTTCAGTGTGTTGTCTGGTGGATTTACTCAGCCGTGAGGTTTCGACTGTCACAGACTGACAGAACGTGTTTAGTGCAGACTTTACAGTTTTCAGCTGGTCTGCAGGTTTGTCTCCAGCTCTACTGGAAACCGAGGAGGACGTCTCCATGGTGACGTCGTCCTCCATTTGTAGGTGTGAGCGGAAAACTGAACAGATTCAATCATCACACGTTTATAAACAATTCTTAAGTCGTCCTTGTTTACAGTGTAACACAACAGATGTCTATGAATGTTTGTGAACGCATCATATATATTCGATTAACTATATTATTAATCTGTATAATCTGTAGTGATGGATCAATGGCCCCAGTTTCACTTTGTGCTTTACAGTTTTACTACTGCCAAACAAACATGGCCGTCCAGTGAAAAAAACATGTATCTCCAAAATACTGGAGCACTAAATTCTCAAGTTGTCTTTGTCAACATGAAAACTATTTTGTCTCAATGTAGTTTTACATCTCCTCTCCAGGAGCTCTAGTAACAACAGTTTTTAAGAATCTAATGCAAGAATTCACAATTTTTCTATGTCTTATATTCTCATAAACTGAGTGTATGAGTTTACAACAGTTGATTGGACAAAAAAAAAGACATTTGAAGGCCTCACTTGGGACCTTAATGGTGATTTTTCACTATTTGATGGCATTTTATGGACTTAACAATTTAAAATTAATTGATAGATTTAAGTTTTGATCCATAAGAAGATATATTTGTGGTTTTAAGAACCAAAAACCATCTCAGTGTAGTGTAGCTGACTGTTTCCTGAGTGATCCAATAAAAATATAGCAGATAGCAGGTGACTGCTTTGTTGTGACATCACAAAGTTCCAGAAGTCCTGACGGCTGGTTTTAAGGCTCAGTTTCTGAATACAGGCTGTGTGCATTTCTCTGTGGACTGAGGCTTTGATACTTTCACAGTATTAATATAGAAGCTAGAGCTGATCTATAATCACACTACACATGGACACAGACCTTTACACTGGAGGAGCTTTAATGGTATTTTTTTAGTCTAGCAGCTCTGTGTTCTCTGCGTTCTGACTCTCAGTGTGAACAAGGTGACGGAGGCGGCCGAGCTTCAGCCCAACCTGCTCGAACAGACGCTAAGCGGCCATTTAATCAGCACCAGTAACGTCTCCTGCTGCTCTTTCTGCCATTCTTCACTCTCCTATTATCTGCGATTAGGAGAGCAGAGTGGAGATGATCAGTGGACGCAGCAGCCGTGCTGTAATTTCTCCCCGGCTCTTCACTTAATATAGAGTTTGACCTTTCGGCACTTTGTGATTGTTGCTGCCGCCGGTCAATATTCTCCTCTCTGGCTGAAGGTGTGGGTCCGTCGGCTCGGTAAATAAACGTCTTCATTACAGCGACGGGCTGGAGTCACATTCTTCTCCGTGATCATTTCTGCTTCACGCGGTGATTTGGTTCGGCTGAGGGGAAAAACTGAGGGAGGTCGGCCATGTTTCTCAGTGGAGGGGAGTTAAGACACTCAGATTTCAACTAAACTAAACAGTCATGACTGAATGTGCCTGTACCGTGGGATGCGGAGTTGTAGATGTGAATTAAGTCACTCATTAATAAACTTCTGAAACGTATGGAAGCCCTTTACTCCCTGAAAAAGTAAAAAAGAATAGAAACAGGAATGACACAAGTGAAATTATAAGAAACTAATACTCTCATTTTAAATTTTAAAATCATAATTAAACATTTTGACTCACTAATAAATACCACTGAATAATAGAGTATTGATTATTTTATGGTCATCATAGAAACACTGCTGCATGATGTAACAGGACCAACAGTTGAAGGTGGACAGCTTTAAAGACTACAGTACCCATGAGCCTTAGCTGTGGTTGCCATAGAGCAGTAGCAAATTTGGATTACATCATAGCAACTGTGATCAGTGACCTAAAGCGTGAAGGTGAATCAATTAGATTAAATAGATTAAAGCTGCAGTTAATTATTATTTTCATTATCAATGAATCTGATTATTATTTTCTTGATTAACTGATTAATCATTCAGTCGATAAAAAGAGGTGACGGCTTCAGATGTTGTTTGTCCGACCCGATAGATAAAACATAAAGATATTCAGTTCACAAAGAGAAGAACAGAAAAACTTACATTTATTTATTTGTGAATGATTAATCAATTATTCCAGCTGTAAAATACAGGAAGTTAATTGTTAAAATTTGTTCAGAAAAACTCAGTTGATCCCTGCAGGGAAAGTGCTTCGTTACAGTTGCTCATCACGCAGCTAAGAAGGAGAAAGTAAATAAGTAAAAACAGAGTCAGATTACTAATAATGATAATAAATAGCAAGTTTGAAGAAAAATGTACAAATGCAAATATGCAAAAAATACAAATTAGTGTGCGAAGTAAAATCAGTGTGGACAAAAATTAAAACATGCAAAGTAGAAGAACAGTAATTAAAATGTAATATACAAAGTAAACTGGTGGATAAACGGTAAATTAACCGTAGTTAAACAGCTGATGAGAATAAACATGAGTCCTAGCTGTAGATTCAAGTTGTAAAAATGACTCAACTGAATAACTGGATGTCCACAGGAAGGAAGAAGCTCCCGTGGCGTTCAGGGTCTGAACAGAACGCTGTGTAGAGGAAGTAAACATTCATTCTTCTGTCAGCTGTTGTTTCTTCTTCTCTTTGCTTTTGCCAATTCCTTCACCTCAGCCGAGTGTGAAAACTCTTTCTGTTGAACTTTTTGTATTTCCATTTCAAAACTGATTTTCCAAAGTCGGCCCAAAAAAACCAAAACAAACAATCTGTCAGACAGGAAACGTAAATGTCCCTTCAGTATAAAAGCGTCAGCAGTGTCGCCTGCCGGGCCTCGTCCTCTCTGTCGATGGCGAGGTGAATCCCCACCTCTCCCCGAGGCTGATGGGAAGTGACAGGAAGCCTCTGTAATGAAAAGAGTGTGCTCAGGCAGGAAAATGACGCCACGACACAAAGAGAGCTTTTTATTAAAATGAGGGTTGCGCTGCGAGGCTTCAACAAACCCTGAGAGGATTCAGAGCGACTCGCATCAAGCCGCTTCTGCACTTGTTTTATTTTCCTCTTGTTGTTGTTTTCATTTACATACCAGCTCTCCCGCTGTGTGGGCTGCGAGCTGCAACTGTGATCGAGTGACAAGTCTCTATAGCAACATTTCTGCGTGCGCCTGTGATGCTGCACAAGTGGAATAAAGACAGAAATCCCTCTCTGGCTGCTGCTTTTAGCCTCTGAACAAACACGGCTTCAGTCTCACATCACAGCGACAGACACGAGCCGAGCTGACATGCTATTTAACTTGTAATAAAAGCAGAGGAGGGTCCCTCTGCCAATGGGGAGCATGAGATTTGATCATTTATTTTTTATTGAGAGGAGCTGTGGTGAGAACAGCGGGCAGTGTCAGCGTGTCACAACAGCCTCCATTACACTCCAGCTCTTCAACCAACCGCCATCACTCTGCGGCGTGAACTCTAATAGACTGGAAATGTAGGAAAGAGTGGTGTTTCAACCCAGATCCTTTATCAACTTCCATTCATCTGTGTGGCGCAGTGGCTCTGTCACTTCTGAAAACCCAATTAGCATAGATTGGCGATTGAAATCTCAGCGATGGTGATGATGATAGCTGGAAACTCGCAGCGGGCTCGGCTCAGAAACAGTTTTGTTTCTGTTTTGGCATTCAGTCGGTGAAACATCTTCTGGGCACTTTGCTGAAAAATTAATTGAGATGATAAACAAACTGCAGTTTGAAGCTGCTCGCTGTGATTTCCTGTGTTATTCTCTCCTCAAAAAACAGAAAGAAATCAAAGAACCTGAAGGCAGCAGGCCGACAGAAAAACAAAGTGATTAGGGTCGGCGCTATTGATCGACTGAAGAGGCATTGTCACTAATTCTGTGTCTGTAATTAAAGTTTCTTTCTTTGGGTCTATTTACCAAGTCAACACAGCTCCTGCTTTTTATCTTTTTGTGCCATGAAACTACTGTTGACTTGTTCATCAGGACGTGATAATACGCACCATTTTTGTTTTTTAGAAAATAATTCAGACTTTTTTCAAAAGTAAGATAACCCGACAGGCACTGGAAGTCTTTGTTTGTTCTCTTTCATCCTATTTAGCCGTTTTCTTGATTAATTTATTAATTATCCGACCTATAAATGTCTGTCCTTGTCTTTCAGTTGCGTATTGTAGATTCTCAAAACACTGTGGTGGTTTTAATTTTGTCCAGTCACTTCTACGTTCTACGCTTCAAGCTTCAAATGTGAGTTTCATTGACAGTATTTTAAAAACAAAATCAAAATAACGGCAAAGCAGAAGTGATCAGGTTTAAATCTGGAAAGAAGAAAGGTTGTTATGAAAGAGAGAAAGCGTTTTGAGAAAATAACCTAAGTGCTTTTTACTTTTAGAATCTTTAAACATCAACTGTTTGTAGTTAAACATCTGGAAAATGCTTAATTACTTATCACAGTCATCATTGATCCACTAATCAATACATTGATTGATCGCTTGAGTCCGGGTCGTGCACATTTCCTTCTGTCGGTTCGACATAGTGGCTGATGTTGTGTCACATTCCAGTGAACATGAGGAAAATGAGGCCCAGGGCATGTTTGATTTGCATTTAAATTGATTTATTGTCCGCTGTCGGTGTGACGGGCGGAGACTGACCACATGATCAAACTGTTGTTTCTTGCTTCTTTTTTTTTCTCCTGTGTGAGGAAATGAGGAGTTGTGCTGCCTGCATGTAGCAGTGAAGGATCACAGTTGTTGTTTGGCTGCGTAATGAACATTTTAATGTGATTGTTATCTGCTGGTAGACGGGAGCAAAGGAGCAGCGACACTGACAACCGGCACTGTTTAATATGGAGACGGGAACACTGTTGAACCATCTGGAGCATCCACAGTTACTGCTTCTCCTTCACTCCGTCATTTCTAAAAGATGTCTGCACAATATATATATTCTTTTAAAAGCAAACTGCCTCCAAACTGCAGTCTGTTGTAGAACTAAACAGATAAAATAAATCTTTATTACTCAGAATAACTGTCTGGATCCACGTATTGATTCTTGCGCTTGATACTGATGATGCTGAGAAGATCTAAAAGCACATTTATAACCTTTTCCCACCAAAATCTGCAGTTATTAGCAGGTTTTTTAAAGGTGGTTAAACCCGGTGATAAAAGCCACTGCAAGGAGAGCGGTGTCATCACATGTACTTACAGAGCACACAGAAGTGTCCGTGTGAGACACTTCGATCTGTGATTGTTTGTCTTTTAAACTTATTTGGAGGCTGCAGCTTCGCTCTTTCATCCTCAGGCGCAGTGTAGCCGCGGCATTTCTGGTTTAACAGCACCATACTGGTGAGGTGACAGGTGTGTTCACAGAGCCGTTGAATACCTGTGACTACTGCAGAATCATGTGACCCAGGTGTGAATGCTGATTGTTCCCTTACCAAAGCCCGATGTTAGTGGGGCTCAGCGGGTTTTTGGACATGTGGAGTGAGGCTTAACTTATGTTTTCTGCATAAATGTGACAGAAACCAGTGAAAACAAAGCAGCTTCAGTTGGTAAAATGAAATGACATTAATTACACAGCAGCAGGTTTAAGCTACAGTATCAGTGTCGGAGGAGGTGGTGACGTCTTTCTGTCAAACACTTTGATCCAGACTGAAATATCTCAGCTTTTCCTGTCAGACTGGAACATGAATATTCATCAGTTCAACACATAAAATGATTCTGATCAAAAACAGGACTTTACTGACCGATTCGATTTTAAGTCACAGCGATGTTGTCACGTCAGGAGCTTCTTCCTGAGCTCTGACTCGACTCACAGTGGACTCCTGGACCTGGACGAACCTGCAGGTTTTGTCGTATTTAAGCGTGCGACAGTCGCTCGGCGTCCCTGCTCTCTGGACCGGTGACCCCCGCTGGGTCGCAGCCACTGGCCCCGCCCATCGCTGTTCGAACAAACGCTGTGTTCTCTGGCTCAACCTCCACCTCCACATGTGGAAGCAGCGGGGGCCTCGGTCTCCCTGATGCCCCCTTTGCCAAACTGTGGGCCCGGGGCCAGACTCTGTCCTGTGTGCCCCTGCTGATAAGCTGTCCTGCTGCCAGGGGGGGGGGGTGTTCCGCCTCTGCAGGAAATCAATCAACAACAACAGAGGCTGGTTTCTGGGACGAGAACAGTCCACGTACTCAGATAAACTGTTCCCAAGTCCATTTCACTGGCTCTGGTTCTTTAGTTCATGTGGCAGGTTCAGATTTTACATTTAATATGAGACGATGTGAAAAGGATACAAACAGCAGGAACATTTATCTCTGCACCGACTTCCTAATCTCACCTTAGACAGTAAAGTTAGAAAATACATTCAGTGCAATGAGGAAGGTGTGAGGAGGTTTTTGGCTTTTCGTTGCTGTAGTTTTGGGAAGATGTCAAGATTTGAATTTTAGAGAAAAGTCTAAACCTGTCAAAGTTTATTCTTGACGTCAGAAACAGTTGTTGAAGAAATTATTCTCATCACATGCAGTAGCTCCATTTAGTGGCTGTTCTGGAGCTTTCAGTTGTATTGCACAGTCTTCCTCGGCAGATGGAGTTCACCATTTGCCACTGAATCGTAAATGTTGAAATTTCCATGGACAAAACAAAACGTCCTTAAAGTCTAACATCCATAATTCCACAAGAGCAGGACGGTGAAGATCCTGGGAGATGATCAAAAGCTCCGGTCTGCTACTAAATGGACCTTTTGTCTCCTGGAGTCGACGCCACAGCTGATTATTTTTCACTTTTATTGACCTAAAGCTGCGAGTGCAGGACCTTTTAATGAGGAGGAGGAGGATTTCTATTGTTTTATTAGTGGAGTGAAGGGTTTGAGTTTTTCTTCTTCTGTGGTGGAGGAAGGACAGACTGCAGCTGTCCGTCTCCTCAGCACCTTTCAGGGGTGAAGGGCCTCGCTGGTAAATGGAGTGTAAACAAAGAAAACGTCTGGCAGCTGCACTGATGGAAATCTGAACAGCTCCTAATGCGTTTTCAGCAGCCTCGTTATCTCAAAGGCACACTATCAAAACAGAGTACATAATGAGCATGGATAATCCTGTCCGCTCGCCGCAGCCGCAGTAAACAGCCGACGGAATGACCTTAACCGCGGCCGTCGAGCAATGGCGGCGTTCTCAATTAAATTCTGCCAGTGGAGTGGAGGAAGACGGCGAGTTCACAGATACTCTCATGTCTGTTTAACATTGACTGACTGAGAGGTTATAAACATCTGTACAATTAACAAAGAAAAAGGTCCTGATTACAGCTGTTAGAGTGAAGCGCTGTTCCCTGAACGCACCTTAGTTATCCCTTTGATTTTCTTATATTCAGTCGGTTTAAAGATCGACCCACAGACTGTTTCATCTTCCTGCATCCTCCAGATTCTTAAAGTTGTGACTGAAAGTGAAGCACTGAAATCAAATGAAGTGGGGAATGAAATTGACTCTTTGGGTTAAGATGCACTTAAAGTTAGAGCTGCACAATTAATCAAAACATAATCAAAATCACAATGTGGCCGAGAGCAATATCCAAATCACAGGAGCTGCAGTTTTTTTTAAATAAAAATAAAATGTGTCACATTGTTGTTCATTGTTAGCATTAGCATTGTTAGCACCATAAGTGTTGTGGTGCTACAGAGCTACAGATCATATTCTCCAGACGTAAAGGAAACATGTTTGTTTGGTACAAGACCAGCGCTAACCCTAACCCCAGCTTAAAGTTTCAGTAATGAGAGGAGTTGAAGTGACAGAGTAAACTGTTTAAAAACAGCAACAGTGATATGTGGATAAAATGTTATATGTGGAAACTAAAAAAAATCTGATTATATCTTAATTATCCAAAGGAAAAATGTGTTGAAAAGTTGAAATATGGAAGAGATTTATTGAGCATCTGTCGTTGAAATTACTGTATCTGTAAAGTTGAAGCGACTAAAGTGAAGTGAAATGTCCGTCCAAGTTGAGAAATGAAGTAGGAAATGAAATGAAGGCATCGAAAGAAGTTAAAGTGGCAGTTGAAGCAGAAGCTCTGACACAGATTGAAGTGGACAATGATATTTTAGCTCTGAAAGGTTGAAGTGTTAGCTAAAGTACTGAAAGGAGCTGAAGTGTTTCAGGTGAAAGGGTTCCAGCTTTGTCTCAGATCCTGAAAACTCAGTTTTAAACTAAACGTGGTTTCAGTCAGTTTCTAAACATCAACAGTGATCCATGGAATTTACAATCCAGTGGTTGGATCTGTGTTAACTGGAGGTCAGACTAATGAAGGAAGCATCAGACGACGTCTGTCACCTACAGTCAGAGTCTGTTGTCTCTTTAATTAAATATCTGAGCGTCAGGGATTCACACTGTTCCCACTTAGGAAACATCCTCGTCATCACCTGGATAATTAATAATGACTTAACAAACTCTCCTGGCTGCTCACATAGTTTCATTGCCTCTCATCTTAGTTGTATGGTAAAGGACACAAGTGAAGGAAACGAGGAGACATTTTATAGTAATGAGGATCATCCAGTGTGTGTGTGTACTCTGGAAACCGGCCACGTCACATGAACCCACTTCCCCCCGTCCCATCAGCTGCCGCTCGGCTCGGTGCAGCTGTGACTGGGCTCTGCCAGCTCCGGGCCCTTCAGCAGAGATGACCGGCCCTCCGGTTCCAGCTGACTTTCTCCATCTCCAGCACTTTTTAATGGGAACACTCCCAAACTTTCAATTAACAGAGTCCCTCAGCCAGCAAACGGCGGCGGTGATCAGTGTGGAGAGGAGCGAGGGGACTACTGAGGAAGAACAAAGAGAAGATGAGCTCGTATCAGTCTTTAAATTCAGAAACATCCAGAGATGTTTTCTCAGCTCTGGAAAGTTTCCAGAGCTCAGAAGTGTGTGATTGATGGCAGCAGGACTCGAAGTCGCTCTCTCTCAGATTTGGCAGCTGCAAGTTACAGCAGAGTAAACTGGATCTGACCAGGAAGTGAAGCTTCATTCAGTTTCTTACTCCTCAGTCCTCAGCAGAATCACGGTACATGAGCTTGTCTTCAGGTGGTAAAAGTATCCGCTGGTTCCAGGAGAGTTGAATTCCCACTTCAACTTTTTCTTTAAACAACGTTGTCTAATTAGCAGAATACCCATGAGCCTCGGCCAGAGACGAGCCCGCCCCTGAGGTGCGAATCAGAGCGGCAGCGAATTAAAAACCTGTCGTCCTTACGGTCGAGGACAAAACAGTGAATTCACCCGAAACTGACCCAGAATTTAAAAGTGAACAGATTCAAGTTGCAGATTGTGTTTTCAGCACCGTCATCTTCAGCTTCCTCCGAACAGAGTTTGAAGCCCGGGACTCGTGGTTCAAGTCTAACTCCAAGTTTTTATGACCACAGGACATCTTTTATTCTGAAAGTTTTACCGGGAGTCACAGCAGATGATGTTGAGTTAGAAGCCGAGGAAGAAAAGTGCTGCTGGAAACTGTCTTAAAAACTTTGACAGGGATGTCTCAGACTGGTCTGTACAGTAGGTCCAGTCTTCATGTTGCTCATAGACGCCTTATCTCCGGGCTACCTCAGGTCTAAGACCAATGTTACCATGGTAACAATCAAGGACACCTGCGTTGACCAGTGTCACCCAACAACAGAAAAAGTGGAAAACATGGCTCATAATTTGTGCTTTGCTAACATTGTGATGATGTGAGCAACGAGGAGAGAAAGAGTTTTTAGAGATGGCAGCCATTTTGTTTTTTATTGTTTCACTCTTCGCTGAATTTCCAAAATAAAACTTCCTGGTAGCTTTGAATTCTTCCTAAAGACAAAGAATTTCTGCTGGGTAAACAGAGCTCAGGGGTTGGATACAGTTCCTCGGTCCGCCATTTTCTTTTTATATTGAAAAAAGTCTTAATTTACCCAGAATTCATTGTACCACAGTCTGACTTAAGATAGTCAAGAACTAAAGTGTTGTGCAACAGATGAAAACAGACGTATCTAAATATCACCGGCCCCAGGACTCCAGTTTTGTTTTTATTTAACTGCAGGAGATTATGAGTCATCCAGGCTCTAATCACTTTAAGACATTATTATTTCACTAATACATCCAGCTGGACAGAACATCACTGATAAGAGACACAGCCAAACTGATGAATACTACGTCCCAGAAGAAGAATAAAACAGGCTGCAGAACAAATCCTCCAGGAACTCCACAGGTTCATCAATCAGTGACGAGAATACGAAGAAGTTCAGATTTGATAAAAGGAGGAAAGCTATTCTTTAAAGATGTATATGCTGCAGAATAATAGACAATAGTAGTTCCAGTGTTGGAATATTTCAGTTGCATTGAACCATCTGTTTCCCAGCAGACTGACGCATCGGTGCTGAACGATAAATAAAATGTTGAGTCTTTAACTCGTCAGGCGGCTTTCAAACGATTTCTCTTCTGGTTGTTAGACTCGACAAACGTGTTGAAGAGTCAGAAACACTCTCTCGGTCTCGTGGTGTTTTCTTTTACACCCGGCCTACATTAGTGAGTCCTCGTCGTGTCTGAAGAGCCACACCTGAGGGGCTGTAATGGAGCCAAATGTGCAATCGACTCCTTCCTCAGAGGCACTTCTGCGATCCAGAGGGTGACGAGGACGACACAGTTTGGCTCACCTGGTAGAATAAGTACCACGAACACGAGCGAGGTTCAGATCCACCTCTGTCTCCTGCCTCTATCAAATGAATCACATAATAAAGTCAAGAAAACGCGGCATAAATACTTAGATTGAGTTTTTCATTGGTGCGGTTCTCTGACTTCTTCTAGGATTTGAGACGGCCAGACGCAGCTTCTGTATGCATTACCATTCTCTGACACTGTGCTTAAATCCCCCCTGTTGGTTGGATGTTTCAGATGGATATCAGTTTGATTTGAGTGTGTCCGTTACAGGCAGAGATGCAGGACTATCATTATATTCACCTCACAGAGCGCGGCGTACCTTTCTCTCAAGGATAAAAGCCCTCCAGGTTCAAGAGAACCCGGAAGGTCATTTAACAACACTTAATCCTGGTTTAGAGGAATCTGCAGGATCCCCACAGACTCCTCTGTCCATCTGGATGAAAAATATTCCATCTGCTGCATAACAAAAACTGTTTTTATATCTATACTGGTCCCTAATCCAACCAACAACAGCGAAGTCGACAAAAGAAAAAATATCGACAATATTAGAGCTGAAATTATTGAGCAAAGTGGAAAGTTTCCTCATAATTTCTTAAAAATGATTCGGTATTTAGCTGAAAACTATGAGGAGATTTCTAAGACACAACGACCTTCGATCCTAATTAATAGTGTTTCTACAGTTTTGAAGTAGCTTCTCGTTAGGTTTGAGCTTTTACGACAAAACCAGTGAATGATGTAGAAACTAGTTCAAAACCAAACCAGTTTCAGACATGAAATGTTCCCGACAGTGTTTGTTGGTGTAACAGCTGAGAGAGTTTTATCTGTTGATTTATCATCAGTCTAAAACAATCAAGTCAGAATTTAACCCACAGGCAGCTTAAACATCAGTTAAATTAATATTTATTGATAATCAAGCAGATCAATAATATATTGCTTGAAGAAGTTTGTTTATGAACTATTTTCACTTTCCTGATTACATCATTCAGAGCTCCATATTTTCTTCTTCTTCTGTGTTTTATTTGAAGTGTTGATCCATCAGAAGATATAAAAACCATCTCAGTGTAGTTTTACATCTCCTCTCTCAGGCTTCTCTCTGCAGCTCTAGTAACAACAGGTCGGTGAGCCAATCAGAAGAGAGGAGGCTCTGAGCCTCTCTTCTGATTGGCTCACTGTTTTCTGAGTGATCCAATAAAAATAAAGCAGATTTCAGGTAAAATCACTCAGAGAAACCAAATCCTGCAAGGTTTGGATGGTGGGTCCAGGTGGGCGGGGCTTGGTGACTGCTTTGTTGTGACATCACAAAGTTCCAGAAGTCCTGACGGCTGGTTTTAAGGCTCAGTTTCTGAATACAGGCTGTGTGCATTTCTCTGTGGACTGAGGCTTTGATACTTTCACAGTATTAATATAGAAGCTAGAGCTGATCTATAATCACACTACACATGGACACAGACCTTTACACTGGAGGAGCTTTAGAAAGTACATTTAACCAGCAGGAACTTAATAACTGTGAAAACAAACTTTCTCCACTTCCCTTATAATTAAGATCAAACTGTGTTGATCTTTCCTGGAAGTTTCCTGCTTAGTTGAAGCTCAGTTTTAGGAAATTATGAAGAAAGTTTCCAGGAAATAATCTGGAAAATACAGAAGCAGTAAAATACAGCATTACCGAAGGAAAGAGCTGTGTAGATATCTTAATGAGGTGTCGGCGCTCTGATGACTCTTGACGCCTCGTGTTTTCGTCGGCCTGTGGCCTTCTGTATTTCTCTGGAAGTAAATCCTCTTTAATCTAACTCAAGGTGTCTTGAAAAAGCTCTGAGAGCATCTTGAACATGGCGCTCTGATACCTGCTGATATTTTCCCTCTTCATTCACTTTCTCGTCGCCTCTCTCCGGGAGGGACGGGGCTCTGCTCTCCAGCCTGGAGAGGCTTTAAATGAGTGACCTTTGAGACAATCAGAGGTGCCCCGGCTCCGACACATGCTGAATGGCGAGCGGTGGCCCCCGGGTCCCGATGCAGGCGGCTGCTCGCGCTGCCTGTGGATTACATTGATCCCCTGAAACAATGGGGCCCCACCACGCTCATTGTTGAGGGGGAATTAATAAATAACATGTGAATAAATGCAGCGGGGGCTTTGTGGAGACTGGGGGTTTAACTCTGTTCACTGTGGAGGACTCCACTGTGAATCATTCTACTGTCTCTTCTTCTTTTGTCTCTGACGCTCCGACAGGTTCAGACAGTCACATCAAAGTCTGAGCCAAAGATTTTACTTTATTTTAATTCATATATTCGACTTGTTTTTGTCAGTGTTCGTAAAATCTAACATTTATAAAGGTTTGACAGGTTCATATTGAAGAGGAGACAAAATGAACTAATTAATAACTTCAATATCATGAAATAGAGATTTTATACTCATTAGAACTTGACGGATTCTGAGACTAAAATAAATATTTTGATAATCAGTCAAGTGGAAAAGCCAAACAGATTTAGTTTCCAGCTTCTCAAATAGGAATATGTATATTTTTATTCTTTTATTATGGTGAACTGAATATATCTTGATAAAATAAGACGTTTGAAGACGTCTTCTTATGTTTCAGTAACTGGTGATTATCTCAACAAGTTATTAATTAATCGGAAGAATACCTGAAAGATTAGTTTCAGCCTCATGAACCAAACGTCTCCAAATTAGCTCCATGAAAATGATCTAAAAATAATTTTTAAGTTCTAAATGTAAATGTTTGTTGATTTTTTAAAAGTCTTTTATTCTTGTAATTCAAAAACTAATATATTAAATAACAAAACATCTGAAAACGTATTTCACAGTCATTATAGGAATTTTTATAAGCAAAAACATTTCATGGATGAAAGTTTATTTTTGAGTTTTTGAGTTGAAGCAGTATTAGTACTATTATTAAAGGGTACTGGTAGAAGCTGAAGTACTAGAGGTTTTAGCAGTAGTAGAAGTTGTACTTGTATTAGCCGTGGTCATAATGGTTGTTACAGCAGTAGTTGTCATAGTAACAACAGTTGTAATGTGACGCTGCAGAGGGGAAACTACAGTCACAACAAAATATTACAATTGAAACAGTTTGTCTCCTCAGAGTTTAATCGTCCAATCAGAAGGAAGATCAGGACGTTCACTCACTTCCTGTTTATAATAAACAATAAAGCACAAACTGAAGACGTCACATTCCACTCTGCTTTCTGACATTTCACAAACAAAACAGTTAATAAGTTCATTAATAAAACAATCAACAGCTGGATCCTGGTGAAACACGTTAAACTTTATTATCAGTTATGATTGATTGATGATTTAACAGGAAACGATCAATAGGAAACAACAAAAACAATAAAGACTGTATTAAACTTTAGGTTCAGATATATTTTATGTAAAGATTCACCACCGTCAGTTTAATCAGCTGTGATTCAGTCTGTGACTCGGAGGTTGTTGTTGTTGTTTTCGTCATAAACAGGAAGTCATCGTCTCTATTTTAGTGGCGCGTCTTTATTCTGAGGAGAGGATGGAGAGAGTGATAAAAGCTGATTACAGCAGATCTGGACACAAAAGGAGAAACTGTAGCTCCTGAGGAAACTCCTCCTCCTCCTCCTCCTCCTCCTCCTCCCCCTCCCCCTCCTTCTCTCAGCCCCCTTTTAAAAAACACTTCTGTTCCACCTTAAGTCTCCAGCTTGTGTTTTAAGGAGGACCAGCTGATTAGTGATGCAGCATGTGAGGCAGCTAAATGAATCTGTGAACCCCCTGTTTTCTCCACTCCCCCTCCCCCTCCCTCCCTCACCCCCTCTCCCCCTCTGGCTAGATAATAGACAGTGCTAATGGAGAGGTTTTTTTGGGGGGTGGGGGCTTTTCCACTCAGGATGAATAACAGAGAATTTCAGCTCATTTGAAGTGAATGTGTTTTGTGGTGATTTGGAAAGTTTTTCTGTGAAACGGTGAAAACGAACGAAGCTGCAGAACGAGGCGTGTTTTCTTCAGACACATACGTGCTCCTCTCTTTCCTCGCCATTTGATGTTGTTTATCAAAGCGCTGCCTCTCTGCTGATGTATTTACAGGGTAATTACTGCGGCGAGCAGCAAGGACACTCAGGTCTGAAAATGCTTTCAAACTGTAAGCCATGTTAGTTTTCTTTTTTTCTTTTTTGTCAGCGGATGCACAAAACTGCTGCCAGAGAAAAAGAAATCCCTCCCCCCCTCCCCCCCTCACCCACAGACCCACTGTAGTCCATAGAAAGCGCAGAAAAGGCAGCGGCAGCAGGAGAAAGGGCAGCGGGATGGAATATAAAATATTTAGAGAGCCTCTTCTCTTCAGTGTTGGAGGGTGAAGCGGAGGGGAAAGAGAGATGTACTTATCTCTAGATGTATTTTTCTTTTCCAGGCTGAGGAGGAGGAGGACGGGTGGGGGAGGGGTCTCAGTGTGTGTGTGTGTGTGTGTGTGTGTGTGTGTGTGTGTGTGATGGTGAGGCCAGACTGTGGGGAGGACTCAGTGTTAGACTGTAGCTGTGTCACAGGTGAGCAGTCAGCAGGTAAACCTGTTGTGATGTCATCACTCATGTTGTTTCTGTCCGAGGTGAAATATTTAAAATCATTAATATTCTATAAACATTGAACTTCACTAATTAAACATGAACAGCAGCAGTGACAGTGTTAGAAAGTACTTGTAGTAGTAGTGGATGTATTAGTACCAGTAGCAGTATCAGTAGTATCAGTAGTACCAGTAGTACCAATAGTAGTATCAGTAGTACCAGTTGTAGTATCAGTTGTAGTACCAGTAGTACCAGTAGTAGTACAGTTGGCTCTGTGTACAGTACATCACATGCAGCTGTCACATTTCATTCAAATTAAACTTTATTCGTCACAGACTGATTTACAGTCACAGGTGTTGGTTCTGTCAGCAGCTCTAGGGCTGATGGGAAATGTAGTTTCGCTGTTTTATTGTCTGTGAAAACAGCTGTGGTGTGTGACCTGTGTACAAGTGCACCTGAAGTTACACTGAGGCAACACACCTGTCTGTCTCTCTAACAGTACACCTGTCTGTCTCTCTGACACCTGTCTGTCTCTCTAACAGTACACCTGTCTCTCTCTAACAGTACACCTGTCTGTCTCTCTAACAGTACACCTGTCTGTCTCTCTGACACCTGTCTGTCTCTCTAACAGTACACCTGTCTGTCTCTCTGTGTGTCTCTCTGACACCTGTCTCTCTCTAACAGTACACCTGTCTCTCTCTAACAGTACACCTGTCTGTCTCTAACAGTACACCTGTCTGTCTCTCTGTGTGTCTCTAACAGAAGCTGGCGGTCAGGACTTGTCCCGTAGGGACGACTAAGCCTCTGTCTCTCATCAAGCCTCCCAGCCAGGGCATCGCCATCTCCGTGGTGCCGGCCAAGGCTCCCGTTTCCATGGTGACTGCACACATTAACGGGCAGAAGGCGGCAAGCTCGGAGCCACTGCAGACGTCCCCCATCAACCTCCAGACCGCCGGCAGGGTGGCGGCAGCCGGAGTCCACCCGTTCAGCAGCAGGAGAGCTGGGGAGCTGCCTCACTCTCAGGTAACAGCACACCTGGAACACCTGCGCAGGGGGCGGGGCCAGCTCACTCCCTCCTTCATCTCTATAGCTATGTTTACATGAAATATACACAACTTTTAAAGGGATGTTGAAAGACACAGTGCATTATGGGAAATGTAGTATCCACTGTTTCTGGACTTAAAATCAGATTTAGACTTTTCTTTTTTTAATCTTCTTTATGAGTTTATTCTTTAAATCAATTTTCACCAAGTAAAAAAATGTGTTTACATCAACAACCATTACAGATATGCAGATCAATACGTGTAACAGTCCAATCACAAAGATGGAAATAAGAAATAAAACAATAAATCAAATCTAACTATAAAGTAAAATCTGCATCATGACCATAAACGACTCTGATACAGGAAGTGTCACTGCTGCTTATGTGTTTTTAAATTAGTACATTTCTCCTGTGGTGTCGTTGACGTTGTCATGACGACATTAGTTCAGAATCGGCAGCTCCTCTGTAGTTTTACTGACTCGGACATTTGTCAATATTTTCTTAGTTTCAACTTCTGAAGTTTTTAAAACGTAAAATGAAGGTGTGATGATGCGGATCAGTCCAGCTGCTTTAGCCTCTCTCTTCTTCATGTAAAGAGCAGCTCCACCTTCTGTTTGTGTTACAGTGTTCACACACACACACACACACACACACACATGAAAGAGGCAGTAATCTACATACTGAGCTGTTTCCTCCAAAACAACAAAACACTACGTTTATTTCCTGGAGTCTCGGTCGTGGCGTAGAGACGCGTGAAGCCGGCGTTCAGAGGAAACGCCGTCCTGTGAATCCATGAAGTGTAATCTGCTGTTGTGTAATTGGAGGAAGGTTTGATTGTGTTTAGTTTTTATTTCCTGGTGTTTCAGACGGATATTTCCCGACGTGTTAAACACAGTGAGGTTTTGAAACGAGCAGCAGAAGAGATTCTTCCTGAGGGTTCATGTTTCAGTGACGGCGTGTTCTCTCCACCCTCCTCTTCTGAGCGTCTGTTAGGATTCAGGCCACAGCGTCTCGTCTCCTCCGCACTCTGTATTCAGCACCATCACCTCCATCAGCACACAGCCGGGATCAGAGCTTCACGCTCAACACTGGCAGCCTCCACACTATTACTGTAATTGCACGGCCCCATAGAGAGAGGAGGGCCGATCCTCGGGGCCCTCGGGCTCCTGCTTTATGATTCCTCTGTCCGTCAGCGCGACTCATGAAGACGGAGCTCGTCTGTTTTCATGAAGCTTTAAAACAGCACAGAGACGACGCGGCGACAGGAAGGAGCAGGAAACCTGTGAACTTCTTCTTCATGGATTCATATTGTGAACATGAATGATGAGGCTGATCTCATTAGTCACAGTGTGCAGGTATTGATCCTAGAAACCAGAGGGAGTTTACACTTCAGATAAGGATGAACTCAAATTCTGATTATGTAGAAATTTTTATCATAAACTCATATTCATCATATTTCTACATGAAAACAATCATTTACAATAATTCAGTGGTTTGTTGCTGGAAAAAACAAAATTAAATCAAACTCTTTTTCTCTTCGTCTCTTTGTCTCAACTCGGCCGGCTGTCGCTTTATCTGTCCTTTCAAATTAAAAGCCCTCTGCAGTGACATTGTCGCCGCTGCAAATCGTAGACAGAGGAAACACTGGTACAATAATGAATAATAAGCACAGTGTACTGTACATGAGAAGATCATTTAAAGGGCCAGACACCAGCTCTGATCCTGATGTAATTCACTCTGATGATTCAGTCATCAGATAAAAAACAGAGTTAAATCTCTTCTCAGATTTCATCCTGGAAACTTAAATTCCTTCAACAGTCAACAAGTGAGCAGCTCTGTTGTTTCCTTCAAAATAAAAGTTAAGACTTCAAAACAACTAAAACATGTCACATTTATATTTATTAGATCGACATGTGAAACAGTCGAGGAAGAAAAATAAAACATCTGCAGCATCGTCAAATTACATGACATTTCCACTGAGACTGTGACTACTTTTAATTTGAAATCACCTTTTTGTGGAGGTTGTAATGACTCAATGATCTCTGGTCATTTTACCCATCATGCAGCTGTAACTGATACAATCACAAAGATTTTAAGAATCAAACAAAAGTAGATTCATCAGAAAATCAAAAAAGTTTGTTACAATATTTGTTGTTGTTATAATAATTAAGTATATAATGTTTTATATATGTTCAGTATATGTCACACATGATTCTACACTATGTCTTATTAATAAGAAAATCAGAGAGAATACTGTGATTTGATTTGTTTAAATAGTTGATGAGGTTCTGAAGTTTTGTCGAGAGCCACATCGTGATGTAACTGCTCCGAGCTCTGTGATTGGCTGACTCCTAGTGATGTCACACTGTCTTTGTGAGGCGTCCTCTGGTTGGGATGCAGAACAGGTTTGAGGCTCTGACACCAGCGCTGCGATAAAGCCGCTGCATTTCATCAAAGTGTCACTTTGGAGAAACCCCTCCTCCCCCCTCCTCCCCCGTCCTCAGTCGTCATCTGGAATGACTCTGTCTCTCCTCACCCTCTCTTCCCCCCCGTCGGGCTGTAGGCTGGTGGAGGTGAGCAGGTCAGGGGGCAGGCTTGTCTCCAGGCTCTTTATGGCTGCATTGTTGAGTCGGAGTGAGCGCTCCTCTCGCAGCTGCCCGTCTCTGAACACCAGGCAATAAAAAGAAAAACCCCTCACAGGCCTCCGCGCTTTTCTTACCTCCATCAATCGACAGTCGTAAAGGCTCTGCCAATCAGAGGCCGCCCCGGTCGCCGTGTGGACCGAGCTGAGGAGGCGGGTGGGGGTGGGGGGGTTGGTGGGTTCCTCAGACCACCTGGCTGCTAATTTGGAGATCAATAATGAGGTGTAATGGGATTGCTGCTCTGCATGAGTGCACACATTATAGCTGCATTGTTTCAGCACTTCACTGAACTCTGAGTGCTGCTACACACACACACACACACACACACACACACACACACACACACACACACACACACACACGCACACAGGGTCAGCGCTGTGAACCGGTTTCACACGTTTAGATTACACGCAGGTTTGATGTTGGAGAGGAGGGAAACATGACGGTAAGAATCAGGGAGGGAAAAACTATGAACACCAGAGACCAGAGGAGACCGGGCTCCAAACGCTGATCCTACATGTTATTTATATTTATATTTATATTATATATATATAATAATAATATATATTATAGAGAGAGTTTCCCAAAACTTTTTTTTTTTTTTTTTTTTTTTACCATCCATCAAAGACGTGGAAGTTTCACTCCTGTTTGTCGACAGAATTCACCCTGAGAAATGTTAAAAAGTCAGTGTAATTTGGTTTAATCCTGTTTTTACATCAGAAATCTGGTTTTCTGTCACGTAATCACCTGACAATGACGTGGATGGTTCCTTACTACACTTTCCACAAATGTAATTAATGATCAGTTTTCATTTAATTTTGATTCAAATTTATAGCATGATGAAGTTCATGAGTTTCTTTCCTTTGGTTTAATTTTTCCTGGAGCTGTGTGGTTGAAAAATATATTCTTTTCTCCTGTTCTCTTTATTTTCCCCCTAAAAATAATTCTCCTTGTTATGAATCAAATAAATGATTTCAGTAGAGCTCCAGCTGTCTTCAGGCTCCGAGCTGCCACCTGCATAAATTCAATGATGAGAATTTAGTGGAGAATGTGAAAACACTGAGGTAGAAAGTTGGGCTTCAAAAACAAATTTGTCACTGATTAACATGAGTGAAAACCTCTTTGTCTTCTGCTCAATGAATCCATGGAAACACTGAGTTTTCAGGTAGAACGTGTCTTTATTTTGAGGCGGACTCAGATCAGAGGTGTTTGTTGTGATCGGAGCTCGGTGTGTTTAGCGCCTGTTAGCTTGAAGGCGGAGGAACAAAGAGAAGCTACAAGGAGGCAGAATCTGTTTGAAATCTGCTGCTTTAACGCTGAGCCGGCTTTCTTTCATGGCTCTCCATCTCGCCGCCTTGCAAAGACAAATCTTTATCCTCTTTAAACAGCAGCCAAGGTCATCTCCACGCCGCCCTCCTCCGAGTCTCGTCAAAGCCGGAGGAAGGTAGATGGCATCTTCAAGTAGCCGCTCTCCCACTCAGAGCCGTGAATGACGAGGGGAGGAACCGAACGGTGGATGAAAACATTCAGTCCAGAACAGTGTGGTGTGGAGAAATGAACCACGCCCACGTTACTGATTATTTTATCTGCCGGTTACAACTGAGAGAGGAAGAGGAGCCGGAGCTCACACTCTGCTTTACTGTTCAAGCCTTAAACTTCCAGTCTCCCACAGTCTGGTGTGAACTCCCTCTGATTCACAGCTCAGACTTTAATATAGAGTCTGTGATTTTATTTCAGAGCGAACGTGCTGAAGCTCCGAGTCTGAAGAACAATCAATCAGCTT